AAATCTTTTTGAGATGATTTTTGAATATTCTTAAAATATATTAATTATATACATAATTATAAAACACATATATTATTTAAAAATTATAAAAATGACACTAACTATTTAAAATAACTTGCAAACAATATCTTTTTTTTTTTTTTGAAATTTTATGAAACTAACTATTTTAAATCATTTGAAATTGAAGAAGCTAGATGATTAATTTATATTGTGGAGGGTCAAAATTGAGTGTCAACAACTCTAAAACTTCTGTTGTGTGGCAATTTATGACTTTCGATAAGGAAAACTCTATTGCTATTTGTAATAAGTGTAAGCAACATTTTAAACATAAACAAGGTGGAGGTCAAGGTGGGACGGGGGGCTTAAATTGAAATTTGTTATCTTGTGTGCCGATTCAATATAAAGAAGCTAAAGAATTAGCCGATAGAAAAAAAGGAATTCCAGTTAATGATGTTGATATTAATGTTAATGAATCGGTAGGGGCTTCTAACATGGTTCAGGGAACATTAGATCTTTCTAACCCCAGTGGTCCACTAACACAACGTAAATATAATAAGGAAAGAGATCGCGAAAATTTAGCTAAAATGGTTTCTGTTTGTGGTTTGCCTTATAGTTTCCCTTCACATCTCGGTTTTATTGAATATATTCAACAAACTTATTATCCTTCTTTTAAAGGTTTTTCAAGAAATACTGTTAAAACTGATGTTTTTTTATAATCAAGGTAAACATTGTCAATATCTTCGTTGTTTGTTTAGCATATTAGATTGTAAAGTGTCTATAACTTTGGACATGGGTCATAGTGTTAATGAACATGATTATTTAACTATTACAACACATTGGATTGATCATAACTGGAATTTGCAAAAAAGAATCTTAAGTTATAAAGAATGTGTAGAAAAAAAAACTGGTGCATATTTAGCTTCAAATATTTTGAGTGTTTTAGATTATTACATGCTTATAGATAAAGTAATGTCTGTCGCATTAGATAATGCATCTAATAATACAAACACTGCTAGTATGTTAAAAACTAGATTATGTCCATTTGATGTTAATGCTTTTCATGTTAGATGTGTTGCACATATATTAAACTTAGTTGTACAAGATGGTATTTCATTATTTGATTGTGGTTGTATGAAAATTGAATATGTTGTTGCCTGAATTTTTTATGCTCATAGAGCTGCTAGAATTAAGGAATTTAATGAGCGTTGTGTACTATGTGATTTTCCACCAAGAAAAATTCCAAGACATTAAAACAAAGTGGAATTCTTTTTACGAAATGCTTTCAGTTGCTTACGAATATAAAGTACCCACACAAATGATGTTTAATGCTCATAATGCTAACCCATTCGATAGAATTTGTGAAGAAAATTGGGAAGAAACTAATGAACTATTAGAATTTTAAAGATTTTTTTATGATGCTACAACCATGTTTTCTGGAATTTATTAACCTACTATTTCATCAGTATTAATAAATATTTGTGCTATTACAATTCAATTTTCTAAATACAAAAAAATTGAAAAATTTAGAGTTGCAATTGAAGGTATGATTGAAAAATTTTAAAAATATTTTTTTCTTTATTTAACTGCTACTTTACTTAATCCTCAATATAAATTACAAGGTGTGCAGGGACTTGTCGATACATTTTATGATACTTTAAAAATTTTACCGGAAGAAATTTCAACTTGTGAAATGTGTAAGTCTAGCATAAAAGTAGAAGCAAAAATTTTGTATGAAAAATATAGAACTATAGGAAATACTCAAGGAGAAGTTGGTCAAACTTCTAATCCTCAGAGTAAAGATCGAATTAATAGTTTTATGCGAGGTTTTCTTGGTCTTAATTCTACTAACCGTGATGATTTTGAAGAATATCTTAATCAATCTTTAGAAACAGTGGACGACGACGATGTCAATGTAGAAATATTAGCATGGTGGAGGAGGCGGAGTGTTGCATTTCCAATTTTGAGCAAAATGGTTCGTGATGTTCTAGCTATTCAAGCTTCATCGGTTGCATCGGAGGCTGCTTTTAGTGCGGCAAGATTTCAACTTGGCGATCATAGACATTCATTGGAGAAAGTTTGAAAACATCAGTTTTATTTAGAGACTGGGTCAACGCCGAGAGTAGGAATTATAATTTGCCAAAGTTAAGTTCCAAACAAGAAGATTGGATTAATGCGGTAATTGGATCTAGTGACGATGAATTAGAGTCACAAAAGTTTCTAGCAAGTTTTCCAACACCGAAGGATGTTACCGTCGATACGATACGACAATTAGAATTGAATTTTAAAGGAGAATACAAATATTAGATTACATCCGAGAACTAATTGAAACAGAACCCTTCCTAGAAGGTGGCTGCGTAAATTAGTTATTCCTCTAATATTTGTAACAAATATTAGTTTTACATATGAGAACTTATTGAAATAGAACCCTTCCTAGAAGGTGGCTGCGTAAATTAGTTTCTCCACTAATATTTGTAAATTGTAACTTCTAAGTTCTAAGTTGCAATTAGATTTTATTGAATAAATTTGAAGGCTTTATTCAAGTATTTTTTATACAACTATTGTCTTACATTTTTATTTTAATATATACATACATATTTACATATATACTAAACTAACTTTAAAATACTTAATTTAAAAATTGAAATTTGACATTTGAAAATTCAAGTTTAAATTACTTTAAAATATTTAAAATACAAATTTGAACTTCTCAAATTTGAAATTTGAAACTTGAAATTTGAAATTTGAAAACTTAAGCATTTTTTATTAGCTAAAAATGTTATTGAAAACCAAATAAACTAAAAATATTATTCAATAACATATAATTTCAATACAAATAAATAAACATATAAAAAATAAAAATCCCACGTCCTGTCCCGTCCCGTCCCGCCAAACCCCGTCCCATCATGTATATATAGTGGGACGGGATGGGACGTATTTTTGTCCCGCCAATCCCGGTCACCCCAATCCCGGTCCCGGCCAAATCCCGGCCAAGGCGCCCTCCGTCCCGTCTAGCCATCCCCCTTCGTCCCGTCCCACAGTTCCCGTCCCCGTGCCCTTGCCAACCCTAATTGTATCTAGAACTCTTCCAATTTTATGGTATAGTTCGAAAAGATAACACCGAAACTTTTGGATGCAATAAGAAATATTAGAGATGACCTTCAACTAGATTTAAAGTTAACAAAAAATAAAACACAATAGAATCACATTTTACTAAATTGTCTTAGATATATTTGTACTTTTAAAGAATTATTAATTTATAATATAATGGGACCATGTATTTATATAGGGGTCTTCTGAAAATATATTATCTTATCGAAATAAGTGATTTTTTCAATTGGCCTAATTCGGAACTGGAGGAAAATATTATCTTTGAGATATTAATAATATATCGAGTATTAATTTAGTAAGGCTTTACTGAAATTATTTTACCATCTACTAAATATTACAAGATTGAGATTATTATTAGAATTTATAAACAAAAATATTTATTTTAAGGGACATATGTTTCTTAAAAGCCTATTATCTACATCATAGTTATTATTACATTAAATTACCAAGGATTAACGGTAACAATGTTTCATAAGCCATGCATTTTCGATATTTTAGTTATGAAAATTCTGATTTAATTTGTCCTTCAATCATCACCGTTTTGATAAAAAAGTTCTTGCTGTATATGTATAATTTGTTTTGTTCTACGTACCATTAATGATTTTTCTTGTGACATAAAGCAAGTGGGGGTGAACCATATGTACACTAAGAATGAACATTAAAAGCAATAGTTCCGGTCCTATTTTGAGAGCACTTTTAATTTGGAAAAGTAAAAATTGAAGAATCAACTTTTGGAGTTAGATATTTGACTTCGAAAATAATTGACAAAAAAGTTACACTCCGAGTTTAGGTGATCAAGCATGGCATGAGACTATTAATTTTTCAGGTCACTTATAATTTCAGTTTTTAAATTTTATGTTATTTTTATAAGACAACTTTTATTTTTACATCTAAAAGATTTGAAAAAGTTCTTTTTTTTTTCTATTTATTTTGTTAGTGATTAAAAGATTCTAATTTCTCTTTCAAAAATCTTGTTTTCTTTTTTGTATGTCAAGTCAAATAATGTTATATAAATTGAAACGAAGAAAGCAAAATCTTCGGTCCAAGTATTAGAACGGTGGAGTAGGTTGGTCACCTACTTATTGCTGTCCATCGCATTCCCATGTGAGGAACAATTAGTGACTTTTTTGCTTTTGCTTCTACATAAACTTTATGTTTGTTTAGTCTAAATCTGAAATATTTTAATGGCATAATTTATTTTAGTTCATCTTTAGACAATGACAATTTATTTCAACTGCATGCGTATCTTTTTGGATCAATATGTAGAAACGACTTCTCGATCAAGATTTAATATGACAAGAAAGTGGATGTCATCCCATTTAATTTGGTTAGTTAGCTAGGTGGTCAATTTTACTTCTTTGCAAGAAATAAAACAAACATTATTAAGTTAATAAGAAAGAGAGAGAGTATTTGTTATTGACGCATCTTTTGAAGATATTTTTATATCTTTCAATACCATTACAGTTATCCAAGGACGTAGACTATCGATCGGTATAATATTGACGTGCTGAATTAAGGTGTTAAAAATTCGTAAAGTTTAGATAGCCAACCAACTAAACTACTAAAATTCTCCGAAATAATTGCAATTTTTTTTTTTTTTTTTTTTATGTTTATCGACTTTTTATGTTCATTTACCAGTACATAGCTTAATTTAGAAATTTAATTTATTTTATATAATCTCAATTCATTGACTATAAAACTATTTACATTATTCAAAACAGTAAACATGTCCAAGAAAGTTGGTAATATGTACAATCCTAAACATCTTGAAATGTCTTTTTTCATTGTTCAAACCACATACATCTTAATCCTTGACACAAATTAAAGTAGAGAAACTATATAGGAAATATTACAAATGAACACCAAACAAACAAAGTTTCTAATTAATTAAACTAATGAGAGTAATGCAGGACCATAACATTATACTCAACAATAGCATCCCCACTAGTCATGTTGATCCAATAGGTTTTGGCGGTGGCGACTCCCTGAGCCAATCGAAAAACTCCAGAACCACCAACGATAGGCATCTCACGATACTTGTGAAATACTGGGTTTCGACCAAGTACACTCAGCGTGCTACCATTGTACTTGCCAGTTGTGAACACAAAATTGAGGTTCATGAGAAGACCAGACTCATTTTGATCAGCTGCACCATAAATCCCTTGGGCTCGACCCACTATTGTCGAGTTGGGCTCTGGTCCAACTGTCAGTGGGTCGTCCGCCATTGCAACAAACCCAAAAAAAGTTGGGGATTTGGTAGTCATGTTGGCCTGGGCTATTTGAACTGCAGTTGGATTTTTCCCACTAACTATGTCATGAAAATAGAAATGAAATTTAGTTACCTTTTGCTTTGCATGAGGAAGTTTCTTGAACCATTTTTCAACAGCCTTGGGTCCTAATTCAGCCCCTTGAGCTATTGGCATGACCATAACAACTATGAAGCAAAACAATAAAACTAACTTTGTTTTCCCCATCTCTTAATTTCTCCTTGTCTTAATTGAGAAAGAGTTCAATTAGTTGTAGATACAAAGATGTGAGTATACATTATTTATATGTGGTGTGTGAGTGGAAAGTTAGTTGTTAAAAAAATAAAAGTATTTTGTTCCTTTTCATTCAGACTAGTAGAATATATAAGTTGTTAGGGGCATTGGGGTGGCAATTTCAGTCCATATTAATAAAATGAATCTATTTAATTCATATTTAATAACTTGAATCACTCATATTTTAGTTGGGTAAATATGAGCTTCAAGCTATTTTCAGATCTCCTATAAATATGATCAAAATAGGTAAAATATGGGTGTCCATATAGATTCAGATCACTTACTTCTCACCTCCATTCAAATTTTTTAATTGTGCTAAAAATTAAAAAAATTAATATTAATTTTTAATTTTCAAAAATATTAATTTATTTTTCAAAGAAATTGAAGGGTGGGTGGGACTGAGATGGGGGTAGGGGTGGGGGGGTTGGCAGGAATTTTTTTTTATTTTAAAAAAAAGACATGATTTTTCTTCTTAGAAAAAACGTACAAAATTTTGGGGGTGGATGGGTGGAGGCGGAGGTGGGGTGGTGGCGGCCGGGGGAAGGGGAGAGAATTTTTTATTTTTTTTCTGAAAAACAAAAAAAATTAGGGCTATGCTGGAGGAAGGTTAAGGGGGAGGGGGTAATTTTTTTTTAATTTTGAAAAACATTTTTTTTTTTTGGACAGCAAAAAAATTAGGGATAGGTTGGTGGAAGGTGAGGGGGGGGGGGGGGTGTGAGTAGAATAAAAAAATACTTTAGAAACTTAAGACATAGAAATTCATTTTTTAATTCTTCAATCAATGTGAATGAAATATGGGTAACTCATATTCAATCCGTCCATTAATTATCCAAACTATATTTACCCATATAGAATATGAGCGGATTGGATAATTACCCATTTTTTTCAAATCATTTTAAACCCATCCAAATTCAGCCATTTGCCACTCCTAAGATAGAAAAAAAATGTTTTCTTGAAAATAAGTAAATTTATTATTTTATTCAGAGATGTAATATGTAAAAGCTAGTAAACATTGGAGTTTGCACTCCCTAACAAAGGCTACTTCGTACTTAAGGGGACTCGAACATGAAACCTCTAATTAGATTAAATACTTATCACTACACCACAATCCTGATTAGTAAGAAGATATCCTATACAACTATATATATATATTGTCTCTATCTAAACTCTAAATAATTGATATGCATTACACTAATCTGCATGCTCCAGCAAGAGGTTATTTAATTTCAGTTAGGATTATTAGTTTGACATTGATGATTGAACCACGTTGTGTAAACAACGTGACAATAACTTCTTATTTTTGGACAACAACATTATTTCATCTCTTTCTTCTAGAAAGATGCGTTCCAGGAAAAAGGGATTTTTTTTTTCTTTTTGTTTTTGACTTTGTTATCAATCTCTTGCAATATATATTTGACCCTTCTAAAATTACTTTAAAAATCTACAAAAAGACACTTAAAAAAAAAGTAACATCACCAAAATACTGACCTCTAACAATATTGTCGCAAACGTAAAAATGCTTTGAAAAAGAGAGCTCAGCAAAAAATGACCTCACGAGGTTTGTATGTATTAAACATACCGACCTCATGAGATCGGTATGTTATATACTTTTTTTTATCTTAATTTATATGGCAGTTTTCAAATTTTAAAATTCAAATGAATTTTTCTTTTGATAATAATTTTTTTTATCTTATAAATATCCTAGATTATCAATTATTGTTACTTATAGTACTTTTTAATTAGATAATTTTTAAATACGTTAAGTTTAATTTGTTTAAAAATTAATGATTTCATGCCTGATTTCACTGAACAAGTTAAACTGTTTGACTTTCTAAATTCAAACTGTGTCACATAAATTGAGACAAAAAGAATATTATATTTTTCCCTTAAAAGGTCAGTAGATTATTTATTTATTTACTTAAATCGACCTAGGGCGACTTGTTATTTTTCAAAATAATTATTTTAATCAAATCGACCTTATAAGGTTAGTTTGTAATATAAATTAATTTTCTTTATATCTTAAATAGCAATATAACATTTTTTTTTCTTCAGAAAAGCAACCTCCTCATGTGGAGTCCGGAACCTAAATAAGCCATAAAAAGATAAAAGTGATCAAAATAAATCACTATTCTAGTAAGTAACTAAAATAGACTTAGTGGGAAAAAATTCCGTTTTATGCAATATTCTAAACGTTTTTCGTTAATCTCATAACATGTATATTTTAATATATAACAAAACTGTTTTTACACCTTGTAAAACAGAACTATTTCTTACACTTTGTAAAGTGTAAGTTTTTCGTACACTTTGTAAAGTGAATGTTTTCCTTAAACCTTATAAAGTGGAAGAAAAATTATGTTTTACAAAGAGGAATATTTTTCACGTTTTGCATTAAATTGTATCTCTTTACGAAGTTTTTGCAGTGTTTGTCATACAATTATATTAATTTGACATATCATAAAAACGAAAAAAATTATTACATTATGTATTTTTATTTTTTTATTCTGAAAACTCCTCCAAGCTCTATTTAAGACGTTCAAACATAGCACCTTCAACATCTTTAGTCTTCTATTTTTCTTCATTTCAATCACAAAAAAATGTCTTCTAAACCAAAAACTAGAGTTTCGATTTATTGGAATGGCAAAATTATACATGACGGAAATACCATTTATTAAAATTGTCCTCCCAAACACAATGCTAAATATTCAATTAATGTCCGATATCATAAATTTCTTTCATCAATTTATAAAAGAATGGGTATAAATAGTCACTACAACAAATATGATATATAGCTACGAAATTATTAGCTACAACATCAAATTCGTCACTAATTGTTCATTTTTTGTAACAAAATTTATTTTTCGTGCTTAAATATATGAGACACATACTTTTAGTGACGAAACATAAAAATCCGTAGCAAAGTTTTGTCCACTAAAGTTTCCCACCAAAAGATCAGTTGGCGCCATTTGTTAAGTAGTGTTAGTCACAAATTTAAAGTTATCGGTGACACATTATTTCGTCACTAATAATGTATCTAATTCATGACAAATTATTTTTTGTCTTAAAATATATTAATTTTTGGACACAAAAAAATTTTCATCTAAAAAAATATGTTGTTACAATATCAATAAATTAGAGTTCGTAGTTAAATATTATAAGTTTTAGCTATAAAAAAATTAAATTTAACTATGACATTTATTTTCGTCACTAATAATATAAATAATTGGTGACAAAGATTTTATTGTCTCTAATCAATCTATAATTTAGTGACAACAAAAAATTGTCACAAAATATGTATGGTGTTAAATAGCGACGACTTAAATTTTGTAGTGAATAATTCAACTATTTGCTACGAAAAAAATTCATAGCTAAATACAATTTTTTTCTACAATAGTTCATAAATACAAGTGACAGCTTACAAAAAGAATAATACAGGTGCTTCATAAGAAATAGAAAGAGCCCATTCCTTAATTGGCGATGGAAAATATTAAAACCAATGAATTCGGTCAATTTTGTAAAAAAAAGAAAAAGTTCAATTCATCAATTTTCTTAAATTACGCAATTATAAAATGCATCATTTGAAAAATACAATCCAGGTTATAAGTACCGTGAGTGGGGGTACGGTTCTACCACTAGATCACTAATATTTGTTGGTTTAACACTTTTGTTTTTTATTTGATACACTTTCATCAATAAAGATGATAAAAAAAAATAAAAATTCAAGTCTTGGTGCTAATTTTTATGTGTGTCTATTGATTTCTGATTGGTAAACTGCATAGACTAAGTCGGTCTATTTGCTTCTGTCTAAAAATATTTACATATTTAATAGTAATTCCACATATGTACGTAGAGCAACTATACAGAGATAATATCGACTTACAAACTTAGACTTTGCAAATGTGAGAAATATTTCATGAGTTTCTATTAACTTTTTCCATCAGTGTGAAAATCAAAATAAACTAAAAAATGAAAGTACAAATGAAAGAAATGAACCAACTAGGATTTCAAATATATTATGCTGAAGTACTAGTTATGGATATCGATGTTTTTTTCAAAACAAATGATTTACTGATCGAATTGAACCGATTATTCAATTTTTTAAATAAAATCAAAAGTTTAATTTTATATAAATTTATAATAGTACTAAATAATTTTTAAAATTTATAAAAATAAATAAATAAAATGACAGAATAGTATTGAATATATTTAAAGATATTTTAAAAAATATACAGTTTAATTAAAATATAATCTACATTTGAATGAATTGTGGGTGGTATATTTCATGCATTTATGTATGTGTATAAATAATCATATAATATATATTATATCTACAGAAGTTAAATTTGAAAGAAGTGAATGAAGTTAAAAATAAAATAAAAATGAGAGACAAGAGAGAGTTGATCGGATAGTCAGCACTCCTCACTTCCAACCTTAAAGTTGTGAGTTCAAGTCCCCAGAAAAGCATAATGTGGGAGCTCCTGAGAAGGAGTTAAAAAAATTGAGAAGGGAGATAATAGGAAAATCAACCTTTTTTATAATAATAAATTTGTCCCTAAATTAATTCATTTAAGAACAGAATAATTTTTTGTATATAAAATATAGTTATTGGTGACGAAATTAGATTTTCATCAGCTACGAAATACATATAACTTTAGAGACAATTGATGTCGTCACTAATTGAAGTAAAATAATTAGCGAAGATATAATTTTGTCGGTAGTAATAACCTTTTTAGGGGCAAAGCAAACTATTAACTACAAAAAATATACTTTTTATGACAAATAAATTTGTCACAAATGTTTAAGCATTTGGGAACAATTTTTCTTTTTGTAGTTAATATAATACTTTTAGCGACATACATTTAGTGACGACTGATTGACAAATTATTTTTCGTCTCACAAGTTTTTTAGTGACAAAATATGATTTATAAATGACGAAATAATTTGTCCATAATAATCGAATTTGTTGTAGTGAGTACTGATTATAATTTGATTATAGTCGGAAAATACCCTACTTCATTTTTATCACAAGGACAAGTAAATTTTGGAGAGTGGATTATCTATAATGATGAATCGTTGACCGACTTTTTGAGGATTCCAAATGACTACATAGATCAAATCAAGTTAACAATACTTGAAATCTATGTTAGGAAGGAGCCTAAGACTAGTCAACAACGTTCTCCTTTATTGGTCGATGTCCATCCCCAATTAGAAAATCGTAATAGCGTTGATGGATTTTCGATAACTCAATCTACTGATTTTCCTAACATGACTCATCATCAAAATATTCCTACCAGTCGATATGATTTTTATTTGAACGAAACTATCAATGAAAGTGACCGGTAATGCTCAATAATAATATTTTGATTATTATTTGTTGATTTTGTCAATTATTTATTAATTTATATGATTTTTTTAAATTATTATTATTATATATTTTGTAGCGGTTTAGTCCTCACACTTTGAAATGATGGAAAATGTTGAACATCCTCAAACTTTCATGTCTCACCTACTTTTGATGCAGATGATTATCGGTATGTCCAACACTTGATTTTTTATTTAAGTTAATTGCATGAGGAAAATATTTATACTTTTTTACACATATAGGGAAAATATCACACAAGATGAGCCCATTGATCCTGTGAATATCGATGATCGTTACCTTTTAAATTACGGCTCACCTTCAGCTAGTGATAGTGATGATTTGCCTAATGCTAAGGAATCAGGAGATAATGTTCCATTTGAGGCATCATCTAGTGATGATATTTTTTTATGCCCAATCAGTAACCAAGACCTATGTCCATGAATTCATTTCGTAATCATGAAATTTTTTATCTTGATCATCTCCTAGATGGTCTAGATATCTTTGGCGATACACATGATGAATATACATCACAACGTACGTGGCGTGAACCATAAGATTTCATGAATGATGCTATTTATATTTAAAAAATGCATGTTTTTCAATTCAAAGAAGCAGTTGCAAAGAGCAGTTAAGCTTCTGCATTTAAAGATAGCGAGGGAGTACTCTGTTATTAAATCGACAAAGAAATCATGGCGACTTGTTTGCAGGCGTATAGAACAAGGATGTCAATTTAGGCTAACTTCTTCTAATGATAAACATACTAACATGTGGAAAGTTGGAAGATACATTAAACATGTGATGTGAGTATGTGCCGCAATGGACATTTCAACTTGGATGTTGAGATGATTGTTTCTGTCCTCCGTACTGATATAGAAAAAATGCCAAGGTACTATTTTATCCTTAGATGATTTTTCTTTAAAAAGAAAATATTAATTTTTTTATTTGCTAATTAATATTATTTTTGCTTTTTAGGTTTTCCATCAAAGACTCTCAAAGAGCCGTTCTTAAAGCATATGTCATTTCGATAAGCAGAAGAAAAGCCTATCTTGATCGCAACCGTGCTTTTAAAAAATTCTATGGTACTTGAGAGGGTTCTTTTTCTGAGTTTCCGTGGTTCATGAAAGCTTTGAAACACTTCAATCCTGGAACAATAGTTGAATGGAAAACAAAGCAGTGTGTCGATGTCATTGAAGATGTATTCAACTATGTGTTATGGACTTTTAAACCATGCATTGATGGGTTTGTGTTTTGTCGTCCTGTTATATCGATCGATGGAACACATGTCTATGGAAAATATGATATGAAGTTGCTGATTGCGATTGCAACGGATGGTAACGATTCAATATTACCTTTGGCATTTGCAATAGTTGAGCATGGAGACATGTACTTTATTTTTTGATCATTTGCACTTGCACGTTGTCAAGGGTCGTAGAGGTGTAGCATTGATATCAGATAGGCATCACGGAATACTATCATCGGTGTATAATTCTCCAAATTGGCAGGCCCCATTTGGATTTCATCATTTTTTTAAAGACATTTGGAGGCCAATTTTTTTTATAAAAAAAATTAAAAATGTCACTTTGAACAACCTTTTATGGGCACCTGCAAATCACTGTCAGGAGAAAATGTTTTTGGAAAAAATGGAGATGATCAAGGAGATTAATGTTGAAGTGTATGTGTGGTAAATGAAGAATGATGTTGACAAATAGACATTGCACAAGGATGGAGGTAGGAGATGGGGCATGCTGACAACAAACAATTCTGAGTCATTCAATGGTCTGCTTAAGTCAGCCAGGGGCCTACCAGTTACTGTAATGGTGAGACTCACTTACAATCAGATTGTGAACCAATTTGTTACAAGATCAAAATTTGTCAATCAACTAGTACATCAAAAGCAATAATGAATGCCTAAAACATTCATGATTTTTTAGCATAACCAAAAAAAGTCACATCGTCACACACTCATCAACTATCACCAACAAAGGAAAAACATATTTGAGGTGCAGACACGTATGCATCATGGTCGTGGTGGTAATAAGCACATTGTAAAGGCATCGCAAGAAATATGTCAATGTGGTAAATGACAATCATACCACATTTCGTGTTCTCATGCATTAAAGGGATTTGACCAAATTGGGTATCAAGCATGGGAGCATATGGCACCAGAATTCAGCGTACGTAACTACAAAAAAGCCTACTCCGGACAATTTAATCCACTTAGCGGTGAAAAGTATTGGCTCGATAGTCCCTTTATTATGATAGCAAATAAAAAATATTTACGAAAAGTGGACATAAATAAAACCACCCGTATACATAATGAAATCTTCTCAACTCGCTCCACTGGAGTAGCATCTCCTATCGGATCTACTTGTAATTGATCTCGCAAGTAGCCGGTAATGCTATGTATCCTCACCCGACTCACACCATCTATATCAGTAGGTTTTATGGTGTATCCTGTGAGTGTCTCTAATAAAGTACGTCATGGACGAATCCTCCGTGCAACATCCTGTATGTACATAACATCACCATCGATGCACAAATCAAACAAGACCTGCATATCCTGCAATGTAATCGTGATCTCACCAAAAAGGTAAGTGGAAGCAATGAGTCTCTGACCTTCAACACTCAACCATAGTTGCAGCAAGGGCACAATCATACTGCATCCTGCCCACACAAACTACATCATACAGTCCAGACCTACGTAAGATCTCATCAACACGTCCATGAGGTCGGTGCAAATGAAATAAATTATATGCATCATTCAAGCGCACCGTCCTCATAAGGCTACTAAATGATATCTCACATTTCAATAACAATTCTGATTTATACTAATGTGAGAGAGAAGAAGTGTACATTCAATCGGTCCAGGATTCACAACACTCACAATTATATACTGTAAGAAAAAAATTATTAATTCGTTTAATATAATTATATCTTGATAAATTAAACCGTGAACTATCTTCAAACGAATAATTGTACGAGAGTTAAAGAATCTATAACTTCAACAAGTCAATTCAATGTGTTATTTGTCGAGTCAACCACAAGAAAAAAAAAACCAAAAGAAACATATACCTTAAGAGAAAGAGAAAGAGATCAATCATGGGCTTTTGAGAGCCACATACCATAAAACACATAAGGCTTTATCATTTATGTTACCAAAACAAATTCTAGATATCACATTTACTGTTTTGCAGAAAATGTCATATAGTATGAACTTGAGTATAAAAATGTCAACTTTAGGGACCTACTACTCGTGTGAAATTGTCAAGCCAAAAATAAGAGAACGGATCCACCACAATTTAACCGTAAGGACTCTCAATTATTAAATATAAAAAAAATGAGATGGAAAGGTGTAATTCAGCAGTGGCGAAACACTATTTTTGCAATACCAATTCAACAGTGTAATTCCTTTTATTTCTTTTGAATTAAAAACTCTTTTTTTCTAACTCAATCTATAGTAATTGAATGCACATTGTATAAGACTGGCTGAAATTTTGAACAAATTACAACATCATTTCAAAGTAATGAATATGAGATGGAATTTTTTTTTAATCTAATTTATATAATTTGTATGGTCGGATTGTTGTGTTGTTGGGTTGTGCTACTCCAATCTTTCAAGATTTGATTTTTTAGTGTGGGGTCGCTTCAGTTGTCGGATTGAGACCATCAAATTAACATCTTCGAAGTGAAAAATTGTTTGGAAGATGAAGTGAACCATGAAAGTGAAAGGGGAGAAGAAGAAAGTGAAAAGGTAAAGTAACTTTTCTTAAAGTGTAAGATTTTCTTTCACTTTATAAAGTGTAAGAAAAACTTCCACTTTACAAAGTGTAAGAAATATTTCGTTTTACAAGGTGTAAACAATAGTTCCGTTATATATTAAAATATACACGTTATAAAACTAATGAAAAATGTTTGGAATATTGCATAAAACGAAGTTTTTTCTTCCACTAAGCCTATTTTAGTTACTTACTAGAATAGTGGCTTATTTTGGTCACTTTTACCTTTTTGTGGCTTATTTAGGTTCCGAACTCTCCTCATGTGGTCATCAATGTTTTACCAAAAAATAAAATAAAAATTGGCACTAAAATATTGTTTTTCCATCTGCCCAATGTCAATTTAATTTAATTCAATAAATAGACAATATAATCCGTTAAATCATTGATCAAAATAATTGAATTGTTCAAAGTTCCAAATAAATGTTTCATTTTTTTTCTTTCATATTTGTCATTTCCTTTATGAAGTTCTATATTTTCTAGGAGATAAATGCACTACTTATAAAAGGATAATGCTAAATGGCCAGAAAATTAAAAAGTCTATAATATCTTTTTTATTTTAAAATAAACTGATCTTTTTTTCTATTTTTTAATTAAGATATATTAAAATTAAAGGGAAAAAGGTCTAAAATATATCTGAACTTTGACCGAAATTGTTGTAACGATACCAAACTTTGGAAAGGACCTTTTACTCCCTTGGACTATTTAATAGTGTATTTTAAAGGTATATATGTGCCCACGTGGACATCGTAAATATTGTACAATTATAAATAGTAATGTGTCCACGTGGGCACATATATACCTTTAAAATATACTATTAAATAGTGTATGGGGTAAAAGGTCCTCCATAAAGTTTGGTATCGTAACAACAATTTCGGCCAAAGTTGGAGTATTTTTCAGACCCTTTTCCCAAAGTTAAAAGGGTAAAAATGTTCAAAAAGGTAAAATAACATAGTGTAAACACATAAATTGTATTGGGTTAAATTCATACGAAATTTGAATTAAATCCATGTTCGTTTGAGCTGAATGATTAATTTGAGTTTTACAAATAAATAAGTCCATTTTATTAAATTCATATCCAAGGTCCATTTCACCTTGAAGCCCAAACTCATGCCACAGTGACTAGGAATCCAAGACCAATAAGGCGGCGCCACCTGTCCAAATGAGGTGGTAGTCCCAATCAAGTGCAAGAACCAATCACAACATGCCAAGTGTCAAAATGACATCCTTTGGCCAATCAAAAGCAACCTTGTCCACCCGCTACTACTATAAATAGGGGATGGACATGACATTCTAAAGGGATCAAGAAGACTCTTCAACAAACATTCTGCAATTGGAGAAAGCTACAACACCAACTACATAGCTCTTCGAAGGAGTGGTCAACGGAGTTCTTCCCGGAGATCGACTTGCAACGACGAAATGCTTCCCGACGTTCTCGGAGATCAAATACATCTCAAGGAGGTCTACATCATCCTACATTCGAGAAATACACTACTGAATGCCCTCGAATCACATAGAAGTTTAGGAGAGAAGAATCAAGAGAACAACAGAATTGTACTCACAAGATTCATCAATAAAAAATACATTTTTTCTTTTATTTATTTTGCTTGCAGTCAATTTTTAGCGCTTACAAAAATTTGTTGCGAACAAATTTGGCACGCCTAGTGGGACCAATTCTGCTCTTCATCTTTTCCTTTGTAAAAATAAAACTACAAGTTCAACTTTGCAATGACCTTCAAAAAGATATCATGCAAGGATTCTACTATTGCCACACTTGTTGATCTTAGTGATGCTGGTCCAGTCAGTCTACCTAAGTTCAAGACTAGTGGTTCAAATAGATCTGAATACTTTACCTCTTTGGAGATGGCAAGAAAGATCAAGTCTCAAATAACACTCAAAACTGCAATCCCTAGGGGAAACATCGCATCTAAGTTGTTCGATGAACTTTCTCACTCTAACTTCAACTTTGGTGAATATAAGAATTCAACGAATTCTTCAATTTCAACAAAGGTTAACTCTTTGATGATTGACGCAACTGACATGAAAAAGAAGTTCGCAATGATGGAGCAAACCATTGAAGCCTTGAAGAAGTCTATTGATGACAAAAATCTCCAAATTACCCAACTTATGAGCAAGTTAGATCTCTACAACTCTGGAGAGTCACATCATATTCTAAGAATACAAGAAAAACTTGATATTTATTCTCCTACCAAGCCAATTGACTCTCAAAGCGCAAATCGATCTGCTTCAGTGGCTACTCTAATAGTTCAACAACTACACATCATCACAAACACCATTAAAGCACAATATGGTGGCCCACCACAAAGTTCCTTAGGATATTCAAAGCCATATTCTAAGCGAATCGAGGGTCTACCGATGCCAATTGGATATCAACCACCAAAATTGCAACAATTTGATGGAAATGAAAATCCAAGGCAACATATTGCCCATTTTGTCGAGACTTGTAGAAGTTTTGGTACACATAGTGATCTTCTTCTCAAGCAGTTTGTTCGTTCTTTAAAAGAGAACGCTTTTGATTGGTATACAGACTTGGAGCCTGAATCAATTGATTGTTAGGAGTAACTAGGAAATCAATTTCTCAATCGTTTCTACAATACCCGTCGTA